GCTGAAACTTTCATTTGTATTAGAGGTGTGAAGAAAGAGAGTACCTGTGAGAAACTAAAATCCGTATTCCTCCTTACAACTGCTGAACCTAACAAAATATGTGTATATAAATGAGAAATTTGTCTTACTCATAGTGAACAGTTCAAGTTGTATATTCAAGAACACTAAAGGGATACTAGTGCCTGTACAAACCTTTTCACACATCAATCTCCTGTCCAACATCATGAAACTTCAAGATGGCATATTCTGTAGAGTTTTGTGGTGCTCTATAGTGTGAGAGGAGATGGGGTTCACGCCTGCCATTTCCTGCCAGGGCTAAGTCTGCATACACTATGCTATCTGTGACATAGGGTTCTGAGACATAATAAGGCTGCTGATATTCCAAACGCATGGGTGGGAGATATGTCCTATTGCTGCTTCTGCTGCCACTGTTGTTGGTCTTGCTGTTTTGCCTCGTGCTCCCATAGAGTGGCTGGGGCTGTTGTTTCCCCCCAAGTGCAATCGATGTCTGCTGGAGGTTCAGACTGGTAGTTTTGGTGTTGGAAGGTGTCAGTAATAGATGATGTGATGATGTTAGATTGTAATGGTGGTGGTGGTGATGGTGGTGGAGTTGATGCTGCTGCTGCTGTCGGTTCTGCAGAGAAGTTGACAAGCCATGCATGTTAGTTAGTGTTATTACAGCATTCATATATGTAAATGAAAAGCATTAGTCATTTTAGCAAGTGTAGAAAGAAACTTTCTATGGCTGGTTCAAAATGGAATGCTACAAATATCCCTATTACATTCTACTATGTCTGTAAATGTGAAATTCTTAAAACATATTGTGAAAGGGGTTGACATTGACTGAAATAAGTAAATGAAAAAATATTTTGTTTTGAGGGAACGATTTTAAAAATCTTCTCAGAACTTTAATAAACGAAAAGCCACAAAGTCAATTTTCATCATAAACATTAAACTTTATCATGTACATAATTGAAAATATCATTCATAACAATTCTGAAATTAATTATTGAATACTTTATGATGAAATTTTCCAGAATCATTGTAACAAGAATGGTGGTCATAATGAAAATGTATACAGATTCTGTTACTGTAGATAAAAGTGTGATGCTAGTACATACACTTTAGTTATATTTAAAAATTCTTCAGAAATGAAATTTTCCCACTATATATGGAACGTATACAAATATTAATTTCACTTAGTATCAGATCTACAACTGAACAACAAGAAAAATACTTTGAGTGAGAGTAACACTGGTGAGGACAAAATCACAAAAGATAACATTATATATCAGTAAGGAATAATAACTGGGCAATACAGATTCTTGGATCTCTTAAACAAGAAACTATTATGTTTAAGGAAGAGATGCTGTACTCCACACGTTTTGGAAAAATATGAGCAAAAATACATATTATATTTAAGTACAAAAATGCTTACAATTTATTTTTAGGTTTTTGATAAGACTGTATCATATACAAAACCTTATATTTTTTATTATGCATTTTTGGTAAGATAAAAATACTGAATACTTAGTTACCAGACATTTTAGATGGAGTAATCTAATGAGTGGTGGTAAAAGAATGTTTCAGAATAAGTATATAAAAAAAAGTTACTTTAGATTCCCCTCATAGTAACTGGTCAACTTAAGAGCAATTATTTGATTTACAATTACAAAGAAGCATTTTAAAATAATGTTAAATTTATTAAGGTACTATCTTCTGGAGTGTAATGTCATGTAGCCCAGTAGAAGTTCACTAGTGTTTTGGAGAAATCAATACTTACCCTCTGGCCCTGCAGTTCGAGATAGTATGTTCTTTAGAAACTTCAGGGACGTTTTACTGGACCACATGATGTTACATCAAAGAAGACAGTCACTGATATGAGAACCAAATCTGACTTTTATTAATTAATCCAGTAATTATTAGAAACCTGTTCTTTCTCTATTACCTGATATTAGCAAATAAATCTTTCAGATGCAGAAAATTATAATTAATTCAATATAACTCATATGCATGTACTAATAGGAAAGTCTGTACATCATCACTACTAATGGGTGATTACGTACAGATGCGAAGGTCCGTGCATGTTCTCCTTTTATGGCAAGAGAGAAACAGATATGTTTATTTAATGGTTTCTATAAATTAATTTTTGAATTTCCGTCAAAGGATTGCAATGAAAGCAGATCTCCTGTCATATAAGCTTGCAATTTTCATTTATTACTCTGTAATACTACAGCATTGATGAGGCAGAAAATCCTGTATTTCTTTAGTTATAACCATCCTGCAATTTTATTACATTTTCAAACAATGTAATGTGTGCAGGACAGAAATGTTGTTCATTTTTGTGCCAGGCCATTTATAACATATAACTATTAAAAATACTGGTTATAACATATGATAACAATAAACACCTACTCCTATCACTATTGAGAATTTCATTTTCTGTGGTAAAGAGCGTATATTTAGTGAAAACAATGTTCTGAAATATACATTGAAACTGCTACATGTACTGACTGGTAAAATCCAAATCTACAACAGACTATTGAACTACTCTTTTACTGCATATTTACACATCCAGGATGCAGACTAATACAGGAAATAAAATATGTAATAATATAATGCAACTCACGTGGCACATAAACAAGCACTGTTGCAACATATATGCCTGAGTCCAGCTTAGTAAATGAAAAGTTCAAAATACAATGTTAGAACATTTATTTCTATTAAATATAGAAAGAAAGATGCACAAAAACTTGCTCTTGTTTGTTATACAGAAAGGTTCTTCAAACACATGTTATGTGACAACATGTACATTGAATCTACAGACTGGCTGTCAGTAAAATAAAAAAAAAAGGATACATTAATAATTTATAACTAAAAATTCACAAATAATTAAATCATAAACTGTAAATTGAGGCCACGTCTTTCGTAAAAGTGCTTCATGTAAAAAATGTGGTGTTACAAAATGGATATAACAAGTTAATAAGCAAAAACATTCAGTTACAAAAATATACAAATTGCCTTAGAATGACAAACTTTTAAATATAACAGCTAGAATAACCATAATCATTTACCATTTTATAATCTTCAATATATGTTTCTCTGTGGTATGCAGTAGCGTAGTTGGTTGAGGCACTACGCTACAAGCCAGAAGGTTGTAGAAGTCCTGATGAGGTCGATTTTTTTCAATTTACCTAATCCTTCCAGCCACACTATGCCTCTGGGGTCGACTCAGCCTCTAACAGAAATTAGTCCCAGGAATATTCCTGGGGGGTAAAAGGCAGCCAGCATGTAAGGCTGACAACCTTACTGCCATCTGCGAGCCGATTGTCTAGAAAATGTGGGAGCCTCAGCCTCTCACAACCTTATGGGCTTTCACAGCTTGTTACAGGGATAACTTTATTTTATATGTTTTTCTGTTACTTGTTCTCTTGATACTGGCACGTCTTTGGATACCAATTAATTATGCATGGGCATGAAGATTAAATTTTATGAACTACCTGCACAAAATACACAAAATAAACGAATAACGTGGCATCAATGTCTGTCTGTTAGTTCAGATGTGTAATCTCCATAATACTCCATCAAAATCACAGAAATTTTGAATTGATGAAGTTGAACTAAAAATGACCAAATACATATAATTCTTGTGTGGAAAACCCCTATTTTACATGAAACCAAAATTGAAGTACACTAATTTATAAATGAGTGGTCAGTTATACAAAATATTAATACTTCACATTAAATACAGATTTAATTTAAATGTGAATATTTTTAGCAGTAAATCTATAACAGAATTTAAGAAATATAATTTGATTCCACTGGGGTACCCATTTTCACTGAATACATCTGTTTTATTAACTGCCACATTTTCCATGTTCAGAAGTAATAAATTGTCAGAGCTGTGATATATATATTAATTCATGAGTATGTGTTTTGTTTGTTTCTAGAGCAATGATTATGAGTACACGGTATACAATTATTTGTCAAATAAAATTTCCTATATTTGGAAATTGCTCAGAGAAACAATCAGTACTCTTCACATCATCCAAAGTGAATTGACATTGAAACTTGTAATCATAAAAAAGGAAAAGGCAATCTTAGTGCTAAACCATTACCGTTATAGCAGGGCTATTCTTAGACATATATGGGAATTACTTCTTAGTTAAAGACTGGAATTTGGAAATATTTGAAGAATAGATAAAAGAATGAGAATTTTCTCTAATGGATACATTTTTCCACTGAAATCACAATTTCTAACGCTACCCTAATTGTGGTAATTTGTTAAAGTGCACCACTTATCCCACTTGATATCAGTTCCTTTTTGATAAAATTTTTTCATAAATCATGTATTTAAATATTTAATTCTAGGGCCATGTCCTTTTTCACCACAAGTATGTCAAGGAGAAGAAAAGACAGATTTTGTTGAGAAGTTGATGCATGCTGCAATTGTCAACCATTAGGATTATGATGATTATGATGGTTTGCATGCTACCTTGCAAAGCAAAGCAATTACCTGCATATTCTCAGTGTCTGAGACTGAACTGTTGGTGTTCATATTGGGATTGAGATTAGTTCTCAATATGATCTAAAAATTTGAGGCTCACACATGCCTACTATTATGATAAAGAAATGTAAATACAAACTTAAGAATCAGTGCAAGTAGTAACTGAGCTACAAAAGCCTTGCTTTCTCATTTTTAGTAAAGCACAGGGTTCCTTTAAGATTATGCACAGCTGTCAGATTCAATTTCATGAGTATCACATATTAATCCTGTTCTTATTTATTTTTCAATCTTTGTTACTGCAAGTATTTCTTACTAGAAACATAGAGGCGCACAAAAATGTTTAAAAAATTCAGTTCCCTCAGCGTTCAAACTTTTGTTGCAATTACTGAATTATTACTGCTTCGTGAACATGTTACCGAATTGGTACACAAGAGCAAGCACATAATGCAGCAAAACAGAACAGTATGTCCTATAGCAAAACATTACAACTAACCTGCTGAGAACTATGCTCCTGAGTGTTGGGCGTGATTGGAATAGGGACATTTTGATATGTGTGTTTAACGGACTTATTGCCAATATGTCTTCTGGGAGCTGGCACTGGAAGGACTACTGGATCTAGCCTCTGGTTCTCCTTACTATTTTCATTAACTTCATTTCTGTTGCCAGGCATTACTTGTTGTATATTTGATTCTGGTGAATTCTCCTTGATTGGCATGGTATATAGCTGGAAGGTTTGTGCTCTATAACAGTTCCTGTCCAGTTGTGCACATGACCTGTCATTCTGGTCTCTCTTTGGCAGTCTCATTGAGTGGAACTGAGGATAGTGCTGCTCACTGGTGGAGCTGTGTTTACTGGTGTGTGTTTGTAAAGTACTAAACTTATTTTTTGGCAACAAGATTACAGACTGAGATCGGTTATTCAGATGAGGACCAACATGGCTTCGTGTTGATCCATAACCAGATGATCCATACTGACTGAGCTGGCTTTGTGGCCTACTTGTGGAATTCATATTGCAACTGGTGCGAGCAGGCTGCAAGCAGACAATTTCACGTGCAGGCACACACATTCTGTACAAGCTACACAAATAAAATGTGAGAAATCATGCATAAAAGTGTTACATTTCAAAATTATAAGTGCAGTAAAAACATAAACATGAAATTGAAAATGATATTATAACCAGGGACGAAATGTTGAATACAAACTGTCAAAAAATGGAACTCTGTACTGTGGTTTGTTAGTGAGAATCTCCATACATAAATCCTACATTGCAACTTGAAAAATAAAAACACATTAAATTATGCAAAGCATGAGGAAATACCCTGATGAATATGTCCATTTTACTGATGAAAACCAAGAGAAGAGACATCAGTATCACATAAGCTTTCAGGTGTATGGTGCGAAGTTTGAATATCTTTAAAGCACTGATATACTGTATTTCTGCCAGTATCTTAAATAGTGACTGAAATACTGTTCCTTCCAAGAGAAACATATTTTCTTCTAACCATTATTCTATAAAGGAGAGATAATACATACTTCACAGAATTCCAAATTCTTCCAGGAATTTGAAACTCAAAAAAATTCCACATCAACTTCTTACTCTTTCTGCTAACAGGAGAACATATTTACAGTTCTCCTGTATGAAGCATTATTCTGGAGATATATAATCCCTTCTTCTCACAATTTTGGGATCCTGCTTTTACTTTTCTGGACTGGTCTTATCTAAAAGGCATTTTTGCTTCACACAAATTTCCTTCTAGTAACTCCAACACACATCACAATATTTTAGTGTAATATTGGTGTTAAAATAAATAATCTTGTTACCTGTTTTTCTCCACAGTACTCTATTCATGAGATACAAGTGATCCTTCCAGTTCTATAGTATATTTATTTAAAAAACTCTGAGGTATCAGACTTTTAAAATTCTGTCATCATTCCAGTTATTTGTATGCAAAATGCCCTGGAATCATATCACTTTAGTTTATATGAAGAAACGATTTTGCTCAATACTATCTGTATTAAGATGATACAGATTATGATGGACAGACAGACTGCTGATTAGTACACATTTAAAAATAGTCTCTGAGGATTGGTGTATATGCAATATTGCACTGATAAAGGGAGTCAGACTCATTCACTTATTCATGGACCTGACACTTTCTTGAGAAGCTGCCAATTGTGCAGCTGCTCAAGAACTTTCCAGCAATTTATTGAACTCAAAGGTTCATTAGCATATTCACAAGAGCCCACCACTGGTCCCTATCCTGAGCAAGATCAATCCAATCCATACCATCCCATCTTATCTCTCTAAGATCCATTTTAATAATGTCCACCAACCTATATCCTGGGTCTTCCTAGTGGTTCTTTCCTTCTGGCTCTCCCACCAATATCCTATATGCATTCTTCTTCTTCTTCCCCATTCATGCTATATGCCCTGTCTATCTCATCCTCCTTGACTTCATCATTTTAATTATACTTTGAGAAGAGTACAAGTTATGAAGCTTAGGCATTAAGAATAAAATATCACAATTGTATGCACATTAACATTCTAGTGCAATAGGTGAACCAATTATAGTATCAGAACCATCTTTTTGAAAGTGAATAAAAGAGGGAGGAAAACATTATGACTTGACATGATGTTAAAAGAGCAATGTGGGCTATGAGTATAAGTCTCATCTTCAAACCAGCACTACAGCATACAGCACACGATTACCCTATCAAAAAACGTACAGCTATCCCTGTAACAGGCCATGAAGGCCCACAGAGTTGTGAGATGTTGAGGGTCTCACATTATCTAGAAAATCAGCTCACAGATCGTAGTAAGGTCGTCAGCCTTATGCACTGGCTGCCCTTTATTCCCCAGGAAGATTCCCGGTATTCATTTCTATTAGAGGCTGAGTCGAACCCAGGGTCCTTATCAGGACTCAAACCTGCGAACTTCTCACTTGTAGCAATAGTGCCTCAACCAACTACGCTACCACATGCCCCATTTAATCTATCAGGAATCTGTAATTCTATTAATGAATTGGTTTAGCCTTCTAAGCTGGTCATTTTGAAGGTTTAAAAACGCATCAAGGCATTTCTTGTACTACAATGTAAATTTTTTCAAATGCACCTTTCCATCAAGTATTTTTGGGACAATTTATTTTTTCAGCAACACTATCTGTAACTGTGAAACATAAATGGAACTTTTTGGACTAAATTTGGAAGACCTGACTAAATTGGCAGAGTAACTTTCACAAAGACAGTAGTGAAAATGGCACCAGTTATTACAGGGTCATTAAATGAAGGTGAATGAGATGAGTAAGGCATGTGACATGTTTAGTAGAGATAAGAAATTCACACGTAGTTACAAAAGGTCAGGAAGAGACCTACACATAGATGAGAGGATCATGTTAAAATTTATTTAGATTGTCATCTTCTGGTCCACAATTTCTATCTTCACAACCCTTAAAACTTCAAAATTTCACATGCAAAATGGATCTTCAGAAAGAAACTGGGTGTAAGAATATAATCCAAATTCATCTGGTACAGGACTGGGGAAAGTGGCTTGTTCTTGCAAACAAGTTATAAACCTTCAGATTCTGTAAATGGAAGGGAATTTCTTGAATAGCGGAATGTCTATTTTCTTCTCAAGAAGGTTCCTGTTCTGACCATTCTGCAGTTCATTATGGAAAAACTGGGTTTCACTGCATAAACTGTAACCATAAGATACAGCCGAGAATTATGGCAATATTTTCAGCTTTCACAGTGCATGCAAGCAAGCCTTAGTAACTGCTTCACCTTCTCCTCATTGGAGTGTAGTACATGACTTTCACTCTTTCTGTGTTACATGCTTGCATCACACTATTTGCAACGTGTTAAAAAATCAAAAAAACAAGCTGTGCTGACTCTAAGACTGAATATGTGCACATCATGACATATCAGATTCGCTGCACTGAGATCATGCAATAGAACAAGAAGTAACATATATAAGATTACTATAAAAACATACTCGTATTCCCACTCAAATTCCTTCTCTTTACATGTAAATTGTTTACACTCATATTCAAAGATCCATAGATTCCCATCTTCTGGGATGTGACAGCATGTAGTATGGTAGATTTTACCAATGTTTTGGAGAAACCCGTTGCCTCCATCTTCAGGAAATAACAGACTCTAACATGCACATGGAGGCAGAAACTTCCTCAGAAGCACTGGTATGTATCTAACAGATTATATGGTGACAGATTCCACAATACAGTAATTTTCATAGTCATTTACTCATATGTGTAAATAATATGTTCTATGTCCTATATTATGACAAAAGATAAGGCTGAACATACTGGCATGCAATGTTGCAGTTTCAACACTGTATTTTAAAAAAGTTGGGTGACCAGAATGGATAATTTTTTCCATCAGGGCTCCAAAGATTTGAGGCATCCAGTTCACAGTAGCTAGTATGAATGAAGCAAAGTAAGGGAAGATATTTTCATACACATAGATCATGAAATTCTTATTATGCAAGTTTCTATATTATTCATTTATTTCCTCTTTTGAAGGTTTAAAATTTTTCTGAGCACATTCCTTCCACACACTTGCAATTTAAATTTTTCCTGTAGAGAACGAAATAGACATTTTCAACATTATATTGTACTGAAACCACTAAACAGACAGACACACAATATGCGTGATAGCATAGAGTTTGGATGAAAGTTTTTGCAACTGCAGCTTTTCGTGATGTAAGCATCACATGAGCACCCTTTGTGTGCTTTTTTTGTGCTGGAATTTGAGGAAACAAATTGTTACTGTTGTACAGTGGCATTTTAGAACACCATATGGTAAACCTGCACCTATAAGGCAGTCTGTCTACGATTGGAGCAAGAAATTTCAGAACACTGGTTGTTTATGCAAAGGGAAAAGTTCTGGGAGACCACCTGCACCAGGGGAACAAGTGACCTGTGTTTGTACATGGGCAGCCTTAAGAAGTTGGCAACACGTGCAAGTTTAGAATTATAGATTCCACAACAGACTGTGTGGAACGTTTTGTGGAAATGTCTAAAAATGTCACCTTATAAGTTACAGTTAGTGCTAAGTTTAGGTAATAATGACAAAATCGTACGTCATTCTTTCTGCATGGACATGCAGCAGCGGAGTGAATATGATGACGCTTTCTTTGACCAGCTAATTTTCAGTGATGAGTTGACCTTCCACATTAATGGAAAAGTCAACAAACACAACATGCATATATGGGGAACAGAAAACCTGAGAGAAATGGTTGAGCATGTTTGGGATTCACCGAAGGTTAACATGTTTTGTCCTGCATCACATACAAAGGTGCACAGGCCATTCTTTTCCATGAGAAGACAATAACTGGAAGAGTTTACCTCAACATGTTTAGTGAGTGGCTGTTGCCTCAACTGCAAGAAGACAGTGCAAACTTTATTTTTATCCGAGATGGAGGTCTACCTCACTGGCACATGGAGGTTTGAAATTACCTGGATCAAAATCTGCCTCGACATTGGATTGGACACTCAACAGACCAGAACATGACACTGACACGTTGGGCACAAAGATGTCCAGATCTCACACCTCGTGGTTTTTCTCATAGGAATATATCAAAGACAGAGGTTTTGTTCCTCCACTTCCTGTAAGTGTAAATGATCTAAAGCAATGCATCACAACAGCTGTTGCCAGTGTTGATGAGGGCATGCATCAGTGTATTTGGAAGGAATTTGATTATCGTATTGATATCTGTCATGTGACAAAAGGCTCACACATAGAGCATTTGTAACTTAGTCTTACAACATTAAAGACATGTACTAAAAAACAATTTAAGTATTTGGCTATATCAGTAATCCTTATGTTTCTACAAAACGTTGAAAGTGTCTATTCCTTTAACAGTAACCCAGTATTTCACAATCATAAAAGCAACTGGCAGAAGTGTTTTATTTGTATACGAGTATACATATATATATATTTCTTGACATATTTTCTTTGAAAACAATGTACAATTGGATAAATATACTATAGATAACCAATTTTAAAGACTTC